CAGGATTTAGGGTATGATAAACTCAACTGGCAGAGAAGTTGTGAGGGGAATCCTCCAGCCACACCTCATATGCAGCAAATTTCTGTCCCTTGAACATTTGAACCAACGGACAACTCTCAGTGGAATTTACAGGGCAGGATTCAAACATTTGTGAGCAGAGGATTCATATGGCCTCTCCCATCTCAGTCTTTCTCAATGCCACCTCTTGACCAGAGCTGTCAGCTGTGGAAAGGATTTCATCTGCTCCCATGGAGAAAACAGCCTAACCTGCTCACCTACTGCTAGATCCCTGATTTTGAATGTTACCCTTCAAAGTCTACTTATGCTCATGTTAGCAACAAAAGCAAATAGCCATAACTTTCCTAGCCCTGAGTCTCATTTTCTTTGGAAAGATTTTAATCAGAAATACAATGCAGTAAATTGCATCTTCTTTCAGCAATTTAGTTTTCAGCCTTGTTTTTCAAACCAACTTTTGTGCTTGAGGTTAATGTTGTTGTCTCAGGTGTTGAATGAATATTGGAAATTTGACACCAAAGACAAAAGACAACAAATAAAGGAAAAGGAGAATGGAACCAAGAGTTGATTGAAGGCTAGGGATAATTTGACTATGCCATGAAAATAGCAAATACAGAATGAATTAGACCTTTTGCATCAGAGCTAACAAGCAGCTTGTTAGTTAAATAAGCCTCTCGGTAAAGTGTATTCTGACTTGAAGTTCCCAAGATGCCCTGTTCTTCAGACCAAGCTGCAAACACCTTTCAGCATTTAGTTAAAGTGGAGAAGCAATTCCTTTGGGGTTGCTGCTTTAGCATAGTGACAGCAGGTAGACAGCTTGGCAGCAGCCTGTATTCTCTAGAGAACAGGAAAAGAGACACTTGTGAGGGGCGATCTTCTTCATGCATGTTTTTAAAGTCACATTGGACATGCCCATCTAGGTTCAAGTTATCTTGCTCTAACCAACAACAGCAGGGAGAGGTTCTTGTTTTTAAAGGTTCAATAAAGTAAAGTATCCGATCCATGTCTGTGAATCAAAGGAGAGCCCCAGGCAAAGATGGGAAGCATGCAATGCCTGCCATTGAGAGTACGTGAGTGTGCATGCACGTCACACAAAACCAACACAAAAAACAGTTACACTGGGCACATACCTAGTGTACACATGTGCTGGGCCAGTTTCATGACAATCCAGACAGTAGCTTCTATCATCTGGCTTTAAAGGTTCAGAAGAGTTCTGTATATTATTGAATTGAAAGGGTTTCAGAAAAACACAGGTCTTTTAAGGACTAGGACTCAGGGTGAAGGTTGTTTTGATGTGGCAAAAATTTAAGAGTTCAAGATGTTTCCCTATAAAAGGCCAAGGACAGGCCAAGTAGGGCTGACTAATTTTGATGGTGACTTGAGGAAGCAAGGGACTCTCTGGAAAAGGAAACAGGGAGACACTACAGTGGAAATAAGGAAAAGCACAGAAAGTAGGATTGTGGTACTATCAAAAACAGACCTTTGCCATCCATACATACCTTACTCCTCAGCTGAGACGTAACTTTGGGAAAAGATGAGTTATACAGGTTGCTTTGGATATTAAAAGCATAATCACAACAGGTTATATAAATAGGGGAGACACTATGTTTTAGTGGCTGTATGAATCAGGAAAAACAAAGCAGATACAAGAGTACCATCCACAATTAGGAAGAAAATTGAGTTTAGAAACTGGGAGTGTACAAAATGGCAGTTGAGCTGAACAAAGTGGCACAATCCACCTTACTTGCCAAGAATATTACATGAAGGCTCTCTAATGGACATTTGGAGCTGATGCAGCCTGGGTAAGTGAGTAGGCTCAAGAGCATCTTTTTTTTTTTTCCGAAATGGAGAGTTTGCCTGAGAAATAGATTTTTTTTCTAGGTTTCTTCATGCAATGTCAGTCAAGATTACTTGCAAATTAAAAAGGATACTTGAATACTGTCCCAAAATTTAGATAATTTACACTGACGCTGGATGACTGATATTGGCCAAAGATTAAAGTAAGTACTAGCAATCCAGGAATAAAAAGAGCTAAGAGTCATTCTTCTGAAAAATGGATGACATAAAGTGTGTAAATAATGGGAGCAAATGTGGCAAGATACAGGGAATCTTAGAACATTTAAAGTCTAATACATTACAAAGGGAGTTCAATACTGATAAATGTAGAATAATAAGTTTTATGGGGCTTTATCATATGTTGTAAGTTTGTGTGGATCATAAAATATGAGGAATAAAAAAGTAGGGAAGTTGAAAGACAAGTCTGTGCGCATTATTTATGAATGATGAAGAGTGAAATGAATGAGAAGAAGAACAGGTAGACAATGTCTTGAATAATGATGACTTTGATGAGTCGTTATCACACAAATCTGTGTGCTTCATAAAATATGAGGAATATTAAGGAGGAGAAGAGTCAAAAGGCAAGTCTACTCAGAATGAGATACAGAATGAAGGAAGAGAGGAACACAAGGGAAATGCACAGAATAATGATGACTTTTATGAGGTTTTCACTCACCAGCCTGGATCCTTCATAAATATAAGCCGTATAGAAAATAAAAGAGCAGCAAAAAGAAGAGACAGGTCTGTGTCTGTCATAAAATATGAGAAAATAATGCCAACCAGGCTTGACAAAATAAAAACAAAAATAATTGAGCCTAGTACAGCTATGGAAAGACACAATGTCTAGATTACTGTGAACAAATAAAATGAGTGAATGTAGAATTGTCTTGTCAGTAGGGAATCAATAAACACCTAGGTAGGTGTTATTGTTGTAAAGGCCACCTTCTTAATGGGTGGAGGCTTGGCAAGTTCATAATTAACCTCCACCACACTCCCAAAGCACCCAACAGCATTTACGGATTGGAAAACAATGTTTAATTTCTAAATGGTTTGGCCTCACTAACACACAGTCCCTTCTCAGCCCCTCCAGATCCAATCCTTATGTAGTTTGCAGGAGATTTTCTTAAATTGTTTCTGCTTAATCTATACCTACCCTTGTCAAATATTGCTTTGTAAAGCCCTCTAAAACAGGGGTCCCCTGTTTTTGGGAACTCACAACTTATGGTGAAATTTATAATTATTTCATTATACATTATAGTGTAATAATAATAGAAATAAAGTGCACAATAAATGTAATAAGCTTGAATCATCCTTAAACCATCCCTCCTCTCCCTGGTCTATGGGAAAATTGTCTTCCATGAAAATGGTCCCTGGTGCCAAAAAGGTTGGGGACTGCTGCTCTAAAAGATTACTGTATAAGACCAAAGATACCCTTTTATTTTCATTTTTGTTACATTGGACTTAGAACCTGGAATCAGATCTGTCAGGATTAGTTCAAAATGCAGAACTCACTGACTTCAGATGTCTTCTCTAATAGAACAAATGGGAGTTCAAAATGATACAGAAACGGGGAGAATCAGACATGGCAAAGTAAATGCCAATATGCCATTTGCATGCCATATAGAACCATGATTTACATAATTCATAAAATGCATAGCTCACTGGAACGAATAAAGCCACTGATCTATGTCACAGAGCTAGGTATGTTGGTCTAACAGTTCAGAATATATACAAACACTAAGAGCAATGATTATACTATTAATAGCTTACCTTTGTGTGATACTTAATGGTTTCTAATTTGTGTTGGGGGAAGGCCTTATATAGTGCAGGATAAATCCTATTAGCATGACTTATAACCAATTCCTCTGATTGCAATAGAATTTAGTAGTGAGGCTGATTAGCTAAAACATATAAAACAAACTTTGTCTAGTAAACATCTTTAGCTTATTTAGAGGTGTTTTTCTTTTTCTCAAATGATCTTTGTGATCATGCACCTTTAGTTACTTGCCTTGACTTGCTGATTCTGTTAAAAGAATAAATAATCCCAGGGTGGAATTATTAGGGTTACTCTGGAAAGCCATGTTTGCCTGAATAACACATCCCCTTTGGATCCATGATTGAGCTGTCCTGGATACCCTGAATGCCACTTAGTGAAAAAACCAACATTGATGCCCTAGGAAAAATCATTGACCTTGCTCAACCTTCCTCATCTCTGCCAGCTCCAGCTATAAAATTCATGTCCAAGAGCTCAGGGCTGCCAAGACTAGGATTAAACTATGGTGAAAAAACTGTCCCTTCCCCCACAAATAACGACAAACTGGTAAAAAATATCTTTGTTTAGGAATTGTCCCAGGGCCCTCTTCTTAACCGCCAGCCTCCTGGAATTTGTAACATCTTGTCTACCAGGCTAGAGCTTAAAATCATGGGCATTTTAGTGGACTATGTCTCTGAGATACAGCCCTATTTAGGGATTATATGTGCTTGATTGGTTGGTTGTTTTTCTAGAAAAAGCAATTTGTCAGTGTGTATCAAGAGCCTTAAAAATGTTCATACCCATGTATGTAAATGCATAAAAAATGTACACGACAAATTGCCTACTGCTGATTACCTCTGGTGAGAAGACTAAGAAGTGGGAGAGAAGTGGCCAGCAGGGATTTTAGTCATATCTATAATGTACTTATGTATTAGCTAATGTAATTAATTTTAATTTTGATCAGAGAAAAGTATCTTTCCACAACTAGGACTCTCTCCCAAGGAAATAAGAAATTCAAGGCAGAAAAAATTAAGAAACAACTAAATGTCCTAAAATAGAGGGTAGGTTAAATGAGTTACAGAATACTATTTTAAGCATATGTTATATAATAACAAAATTATATATTAAAGAATTTCTAATTACACTGAACAATGTTGATAATATACTGTTAACATAAAAACATCTGGATTCAAAACTATACCTAGTGTGATGCTAATTTTGATGCCTATAAAAGATACACATACCCTCCCCAAAATGTTGTTAGTTGTTTCTACTGGTTGGTAAAATTATTATTTTCTTTGTTATGCTGGACTGTTTTTTCCAAACGTTCTGCACTGTGGCTTCTAGAATCTAGTTTTAACGTACTTTTATATTTGTCTTTGGTCTTGTGTTGCAGGCGTGCCTGTGTGATTCGAGGCCAAGTGGTGGCCATAGATGGAACCCCTCTAGTTGGGGTGAACGTCAGTTTCTTGCACCACAGCGATTATGGGTTTACCATCAGCCGACAAGATGGAAGGTATGTAAATATTGCTTCTGATCATTGCAGGAGCCAAATACTGATGTCTAGCCATGGGTAAAACCAGGGCTCGTATGATACAGTGATGGTAAGCCCATCTTCCTTCCAGCTGTATCTGGAAAAGTCGCTGGTTACATTTATTTCCTCTATGCCCCATCTAAGTCAAACCGAATTTCTCTTCTAACCCTTTACAATTATTCTCAAGTCTTCTTGAACCCCTGGCCATGTGGAAAGTCTTCTCTCCTTCATCTAATTCTGTTTATAAATCCAGCTACAAAGTTCAGTGAGACGATACAAATGATAAATGAGGAACCATGAAACTCTTAGGCTGTTCTTCTATGACAACCCCAAAATATTTCCGAGATGATAATGTCCAAAAGGTTTCTTCCAAAAGTACAGAATTCAACCACATTAATTAAGGTTGTTGTTTTTATTTTTTTATTATGTCCTCCCTAGGCTGTTTGACTAGTAGTTGCAACTAATGGACAAGCATAGGCAGCCTATTTAACTATAGTGATTTAACCTGAAGCACCAACCACCACGCTGTTCTCTAAGGGCTTCTCAAGGTTTTCTGAGACCTGGGAAGCAAGACCTCTAAGTAAAACCTTTTCATCCTGGAAAAAGATTTACTTGCAAAAACACTTTTGTTGCTGTCACTTAGACAGACATTTGTTCAGAATATTTGCGTCAATAGGCCCATGTGTCCAGAGTAAAGGTGCCTATTTATGAGTCTCAGGAATGCTGTAATAATGGCCTTGAGGTGCCCTAGTCTCTAGGTGGCTACCCTTAAAATGTTCTACTTATAACTAGCTACTTCACTACTCACAAAAAAGACCTGTTGGCTTGCCACTTTATCACAGTGTGAGAGACTATCTCATTTCAAGAACCTATAATCAAATTTTATTAGTCCTAACCACTTCAGAAATGTTAATTGTTCAACTTGGGCTGTACTGGATTTATTTTTCCAACTGCCTGTCAAGAAAGTGCTTGTGAAAATTATTTAAAGAAGATAATAAGGAAGAATTTTCTGAGTTGGGCGGTGCAAAGGCAATTTATGTAACCAAAGCATTTGTACCTCCATAATACTCTGAAATAAAAAAAGAAAACAAATTTTTTTAAGGACTTTAGTGAATCACATGAATTATTTATATGTAAATTATATTGCTAACTACTAAGTAGCCATCTATTCATTATAACAAGTTCAGCAGAGCTACTTTGGTAGCAAGTAGTATACATACATATATATACACACACACACACATATATAAAATAAAGACTATTTCTTTCAAATATTCTGTAATTAGAGTCCTCTTAATTTAAATGGACCTTTCTCCCAGTTAGATTGAATGATGAAATTTTAGTAGTTTATTTACCAGTAACTGATACACAGAACTAGCTTCTCCCTTGTAAGCATCTTCAACTATGTGCCCATACATTGAGAAATGTATTATTTCTTTCAATAGAATATGCCATCTAAGACATTGACTTCTCATGACTTCTCACATAGAACTGATGGGCCTTCATGTTTTTTAGTTTGTATACAAAAGTTTCAGTGGAGTATTTGATACTCATAAAAGAACATGAAAGAATCTTGATGTCTAAAGAATCTAAAAATTTCTACTTCCAATTTACAGAGAACATTAAAAAGGGTAATTTTTTTTATTTTTGTAGTTTTCATTTTAAGTAAAATGTCAAGACCCTCCTCTGCTGAGCTCAATGTGAGAACTAGGTTTACGTAGATGACAGATACTAGCCAAAATCCCCTCTGGCTATAACTCTCCCCTCAGGCTCTATAAAGGGTGTAAGCATTCAAAATATGGGCCCCAAATGCCAAGCAGACTGTCCCACTATCATTTCTTAGACATAAAGTGGTAGTGTGCTGAGAGGTTCCATATATATGTCTCTGCTTGTTGCTACCTCAGATTGAGTAAGTACATTTCAAAAGTAGAAAATCATAAGAAAAATATACCTGAGAGCAAAAGATTATAGAAAGACTGAGATTAGCATTCAGATATCTAGTAAACAGAGTATGATATGCAAGATTCTGAAAGGCTCCTTCATCCAAATCTCAACCCCAGCAGTCTGTTGCAGTGCTTATAATTCTCACCAATGGTATCACTGCTTTGGACAAAGCTATCAGCTCTCTCAAAGTCTATGTTAAATACAAATATATTATGTGGGATGTAGAATCATTTACCCCAATAATCAACCACTTGAAAAAGTTAATTGACAACCTTCCCTAGCGAACCAGGAAAGCTCTATGTTATGGGACCAAAGTGATATATACCAAGCAGAAAGAAAGATTGTGGTGGAAGACTGAGCCCTTTAAAAGTATGAAGAGATTAGATATTTAGATAGAGAGGGGCCAGCATAGCAAAAAAGAAAAAAGGCAATTATTTTTTCTAGATCTGTAAAAAATGATGTTGGTTGGTATTTTAATAAGGATTACTTGAATCTGTAGATTACTTTGGTTGGTATAGACATTTTAACAGTGTTGATTCTGCCGATCCATGAGCATGGTATGGAAAAAGGAAAAGCAAATATTTTTGAGTGTCTACCATATGCCAGATGCTTTCATTAATGTCATTCCATCTCCATCCTCACAACAACCCTATGAGATAGATACCATTATTTTTATCTTCCCCATTTGCCAGATGAGAAAACTTATTAGACTAACATAGCTAATAAAGATAGAGTCCAAGATTTAAACTCACGTAATCTGGTTCTTATCCTCTATGATTTTCCACCTTCAGTTTAGCTATATAAGCAATACTCAGTAAAATGTTGAAAGAGAACTATTTATAAATAGTTCAGCTGATGATAAGCAAAATAGATGAAGTGATGACATTCTTAGAAAGTTCTTGAGAAACGTCAAAAGTCTCAAGAACTGTGTTCTAAAGACTGGAAGATGAAGAGAGAGTTTCCTCTGATTCCCCTGAAGGCAAAAATTTGTTCATTTATGGATACCATAAGGCAGAGGTAAACATTTTGCATAGGCTTCAATAGCCTTCCTCTATGAATAGGACTTGTTTGACCTATTATAGATTGACAACAATCTCCAAACAAACAAACTCTCCCTTGGGTCTTTTATACCCACTCTCATATGACATTATAACCTGCTCTTAATGACCCATGCAAATGGAGGTGATTTGTGGGGAGAGAAATTGCAAAGAAGTAATCATTCAGAGAGCATTCTATTTGGCACTGGAATGGTTTAGATGTATTTTTGGCCACAGATCCACCTTCTACCTCCATATCAATTAATGAGTCAGCCAGGCAGCATTTACTGTATATAACAGCTAGGTAGGAAGAGGAGAAGTATGTCAGTCAGAGTTTTATAGGGAAAAAAACATATATATAGATATAGTGAGAGAAAGAGATTTATTTCAATTTATTTCAAGGAATTGGCTTATGTGATTGTAGGGACTGGCAAGTCTGAAATCTGTAGGGCAGGCTGGCAGACTGGAAACTCTCAAGAAACAATTGATGCAGTGGTCTTGAGGCAGAATTTCTTCTTTCTCACAGAAATTTTAGTTTTGTGCTCAAGGTCTTTAACTGATTGGATGAGGCCCATCCACATTATCAAGGACCATCTCCTTTACTTAAATTCAACAGATTATAGAAATTAACTACATCTACAAAGTACCTCCACAGCAACACCTAGTCTGTGTTTGATTAAATAACTCAGAACATAACCTAGCCAACTTGAGACATAAAACTTAACCATCATAAGAAACCTACAAGTTACAAGGAGAACTTAAGAATCAGAATGTGTTCATGAAGAGAATCAAAAGCTGGTCTATAGGTCATTTGAACTACAAGAAAAGAAAGCATGTGGTAAATTTAGTAGAGCAATGGATCCGACTTGAGAAGAAAGTTCACATGCATTGAGTCCCTATTCTATGTTTGACCCTTTAAGTCTTTATCTTAAGTCTTTATCTTACCCTTATCTTAAGGGTCTTAAAGACCCTTAAGTCTTTATCTAGTCTACTCACTTACAATAGTAAGTGAGAAATAGTTAATAGTGGCTCCATTTTACTAATAAGAAAACTGCAGCTTGGTGGGGCATGGTGCCTCAAGCCTGTAATCCTAGCACTCTGGTAGGCCGAGGTGGGCGGATTGCTCAAGGTCAGGAGTTCGAAACCAGCCTGAGCCAGACCCCGTCTCTACTAAAAATAGAAAGAAATTAATTGGCAAACTAAAAATATATAGAAAAAATTAGCCAGGCTTGGTGGCACATGCCTGTAGTCCCAGCTACTTGGGAGGCTGAGGCAGAAGGATTGCTTGAGCCTAGGAGTTTGAGGTTGCTGTGAGCTAGGCAGACGCCACGGCACTCTAGCCCAGGCAACACAGTGAGACTCTGTCTCAAAAAAAAAAAAAAAAGAAAACTGCAACTCATGGAGTTTAGATAACAAAGACACAAAGTTAACCAGGCAGAGCTGGTATTTGAACCCAGATATGTGTGAAGCCAAAAGCCACATTCTTTCCACAAAGCAAGATGCCTGGCCTACCTGCTTAATCTTTTTAGAAGTGAAGAATAATTCCCAGGTACATATTTTCTTGTTTAGATAGTTTATTTAGTTTTTTTGTTTGTTTTTAAATAAATAAACACTTCAGTTTTAAGGAGTCAAGAGTCAGGATTGGGTGAAGCAAATAAACTTGCCCAAGGGCACAGAGTTAAATCAACATAGAAGATAAACTAGAGGAAATGCTTCTTGACAAGTAGTGTTGGATTTTCCCAACTACACTTGCATTAAACTGCTCCTATATTATCATGAATTCAGCCCCTCTGTCTTAAACCATAAGCCATTTGGGTTTTCTTTTTTTAGTTCAAACCTAGATTATTTTCTATAGTGAATGCAGTTCTTCAAATCCTCTTTTTGGAAACTGCCTTAGTAATACAGCTACTTAACTGAAAAAGCAACAGTAAAAAATACAGTATTATCCATCCTTTGTTACTGTCCATTTATCTTTATCTGGAAGATTTCTGCAACAAGATA